CCCCAGAGTCCCCCCACTTTACATCAGGGCCTCCAATATCCCTCTAAACAATTATACTTAGACCATGCACCGCATACAACCATAACCTCCCATAATCTTTCACTCACAAAACCATAACTCTACAAAGCATATCCTACCTACTATCCAACCCAGCAATACCTCAAGTGCCCCATACTCTACCACCCATAATAACTACATAATCCTGAACCTGACCAAACCACCCATACATGTAGGTTTACATACAGACACCTGTACAAGCACACTCACACACACATACATGTACATACACATAAATACACACATACATACATACATACATACATAGACACATGTTCATACATACAGACTTGTACAGACACATGTACATACATATACATGTCTGTATGTACAGACACAGAAACATGTGTACACACCCCTATGAAAATTTGCAGTATATCGTTACCTTCACTCACAGAGCCGGGTACTGCACTCTAGGGGGAGGCAAAGAGCACAGCACACACTCTCCTTTGCTTTTGTTTTGTTTAAATATTGAGCAATCTGACAACTCCAAGTGCGAGTGACAGATCCGACCCTGAGTTCCGAGCCTGCTCAGCAAGACGGCCCTGGGGACACACTCGGCCCCACCATAATTTTCCACTCGCCAATGTGAGCAGGTGAGTGGAAATTTCAAGCCCTGCTTTAAAGTATAACTGTACTGCGTCGGAGTACCACAAGCCAAAATTGCTATATAATTGATTTTTAATCAAAACAAACTCCTCCATCCATCCATGTCTCCATGCTTTATTTTGCTGAGCAGTGCTTTGAAAAACACCACCTGGAATTTCTGGTAGTGGCCATTTTGAGTAAAGGCAGATGATTCATGTAGCAGTTACTTCCTGGAATCCAGGAGCTGAGAACATTCCCTCTCCTCCTGAAGACTCCTGGGATGTATGACCTCATTTGCCAATGCATGGAAACCAGGAATTAAATGAAGAAATGAAAAAAAAAGTAAATATACAGATTAAAACAAGTAAATAAAAGATACACTTTCCTATCTATTTACGAATGCTAGCAGCATAAGGATTAGAAATAGTCCATTTTCATTGAGAGAGGGGAGTTTCGATTTAGCTTGCTTTTAAAAGACAATCACAGTGGCTCCAGTCGTTGACGTCACTGAGGCATGTGCTGCACTCAGGGCTTGTTGAGTGTGCAGAGAACGCTGTGCCGCGATTGTGACCCTATGTTCACAGCCTGGCCGGAGAGTGCAAATCTGAGGAAGAATGGGTGAAGATAGAAGTTCTGGCAGCAGTCGCAGCTCAGTGCTGGAGGGCTTCTCTTAAAAGACAAGTTTGTCATAATGTGCTGGTATGTGGTGCATACAAGCACATTATGGTGTAAGCTTGCAGGATAGGCCTTTTTTTTTTTTTTCATTTGTTAAAGCAGAGTTTACTAAGCGTTTAACAAATTACAATTATCCTAAAATTAAGTCCAGGTAGATCATAATGGTGGATTTTGGGCACCATAGAGTATAATGAGCAGCAAGGGGAACATAATCCACTACGCTCGTCTCCCCTCCAACGGTTCAACGCAAACAAGCTTTTCACTGGCATCAACATATTCATCTGGTCCTTATTGGTTTGACATCTTCTGGATTGGCTGGCCCAGGATGACCTAACTCTCTTGCCCTGGAATGCATTCATTCTGGCACCAAGGCATGCCAAGAATGTACACTGAAAAACTGCATCTGAACATTGGGCATGGGATGTAAACTTCAGTTTTCATATAGTCAAGGTTTTTTTGTTACATTGTATTTACTCATGTTTCATTTGTATGCCACTCAAATGGGTGCCATTTTAGTTGTAGAAGATGCTTATTAACCCTTTTGCTACCAGGCCCTGCACTCCACTTCTAAGCTCAGGTTGCCATACCATTTTTGCAATTTTTCCATTGTTTTCTATTTTTACCTTTTACAGCTTTCAGATTTTGTGAAACATCCCCAAAACCATACATTTTCTGAAAGCATAGGGCCAGTAGAATAAAAAGGTGCTACTGATTATTTTTTTTTTTTTTCAGCCCTATGATATTTGTTCATATTTATCAAAACAATTTAGCTAGAAATTCACAAAAATCATTTTTCGCAGATGCAAACACAGCAAAACTTACAAAATTCCTGCTAAATTCCAACTAAATATAAAAAAAAACTAAAGTGTATTGAGTTAACAAATATTTTTAACTTGTGCCTGTGTGAAATGGTGATAGCTGAAGGTGCACAAAACTGTAAATAAACATGATTTACTCTAAAAATCTGAGGTTATCATTTTTCACTTACAGCTTTATAAAAGACCCCCCCCCCCCCCCCAACCATACATTTTCTGAAAGCACATGACCTATAGAATAAAAAAGTGCTACATTTTTCAGTAGTTTGGCAAATGTTTATGAAATCCCTGTTTTCACCAAAAATACACTAAAATCCTTATTGGTGCACAAAAATAGCTTATAAAATTCCTGCTAAATTTCTACTAAGGCCTTGTTTACATGGGGCATACTAAAGTATATGTCCATGGAGTGCTGTGTTCCATGCATCTCCATGCAGGCAGTCCCATTCATGTCAGTTGGGATGCAGTGGCACGGGCACAGCTGCTGATCCCAATCTGACATCTGTATTGGGTGCACATTCCCGAACACAGTTTGAGCATAGGGATATGCACCTGGACCCACATGGATGTCAAATTGGGAGCAGAGACTGTGCCTGTGCAATTTCTGCATCTTGATTGATATGAATGGGGCGGCTTGCACAGGCATGCACAGAACACAGGTAAACATAGCCTTGCAGGGGTGTACGCTGTGTATGTCCTGTGTGAACAAGGCCTTAAAATAAATATATCATTATAAAGACAGTTCATTTTCTCTGCAGGCTCAGCTGCAATGCATATTCATTCATAAACTGAGGCAATGTAAACACTATTTACTATGCCACAGTGATGAACATAGGAGTGATCAGTACTGATGTGCTGGTAAACATGTTCAGCAGGGTCTGCTGAACATTTCTGCTATAGGTTCACTGAAGTGACCATGAGGTTGTAGCAGGATGAGTAATGTCAGGCCCATATGGTGTATGGGCCTGGTCAGCTGGAGGTAGTGCTGTAGGTCCTAGCAGCAAAAGGGTTGAAGCCACCTCACAAGTAGGAACATTTATTTATTTTTTATTTAAATCTTACAGCCGCTTTTTTTTTAATACTGATCCGCCTTAACCCCTTCCCCCATTAGCAGATCTTGTTTCCTTTTTTAATTTTTTTGTATTGTAATCGATAAATAACTTACAATGCTTTGTACTAGAATCCGTTTGTTTCATTAGAAACTAGATGAAATTTAAAAGAAAATGGATACTATTTAGATTCAGTTACATCCTCTATAATATTAAAAAAAAAAAAATTCTAACACTGATTTTTCTTTTTTAATTTTCCCTTTTATCTTGTGTGCTGGTTCATACTCATTCTGTGTGGTTTTTGTTGCACTATCATTTGAGGAAAATCCCCTGTTGGTTATCTGTGAATGTAGGCTGTACCCTCAGTTTCATTGCGGGTGACATCGTGGTCAGGACAATGAAAACAAATTAATCTCCCTAAGGCTTCCTTGGCACAGCCATTTAGCTGCAGACACGTAATTCCATCAGCAAAAATCTGCCTATTCTTGCTGTTGAAATCCAAAGTGCATGTGAATAACGACCGGTTCCTCAGCTTTTACAAGGTATTGACAGGCTGACAGCAGCTGTCATTGCTCGCATATAGCTTCCCATCTGGGTTAGGTACAGGTGTCCAGAGCCTGGACACTATTTTCATGAACCTGCCTTTCCAGCCGCAAGAATATTCTGGCAGAGCAATCTGAATGTAACTTTTTTTCCTTCACAGGGTCTGCTACATTGTACCTTTTCAATTTTAACTTTAATATTAGTGTGCCTCCTGTTATATTTCCCATATTTAGGGTTCAGTGGACCTTTTTGTTATCGGCTCTGCCAAGTTTTCTTTTTTTTTGTGGCGGGCACGAATGCTGTGTAAATTGTACAGAATTGTGCAGATTTCTGTTCTGCCACTGTAATAACAGATGTTGTATTGTAAGTTTATGACTAAAAGATTTTCTTTTCCTGGGGCCCTTACTGACCTTGGGTCAAGGGCAGTGTTAGCAGGTACTTAAGGAATGTATTAAGCATGCCAGGATTTATTAATTTAAACCACGTGTGTTTAGTTTAGTTGCTTTACAGAGTTGCGGTCCAGTTTAGCAACTGTTTTCACTACAGTTCATGGTAACCATTTACCTACTTTTGTTGGTACCTTATGTTTAAGTTTGTAGGTGTCTTGAGAGAATAAACAGGGAGCTTTTAAAAGAACACTCCATAAATCTAAACAAAAAGATGTTAACTGTATTACTACCTGAACTTAAAAGCATTTACTGGGAGTGTAAGGACATTTATAGATATGGCATTCAGGTACCACTGCACATTGTATTCAATTCCAGTGTAGGTAAGTGAAGGGCAGGCTTCAGCTCAGACCCCAGCCCATTAATCACACCCCTCTGACATGTTTCACCCACACTGGGCTTAATGGTAGAGGAGCGGTGCTGCTCTGTTATGGTATTTGCGCATTTATAGACCTGTTTGAGTTTAAGAAGCTTGTCAAAAGTGACAATAATTTAGATGCAAACTCTGGTTCTTGGGAGATGATTATCCTACATGCTATTCTTCCTCCTCCTTCTGGTTTTCCTGTAAAAGTATTGTAAGTGGTCTCTAGTCAGTCCCCATTTACCTGAAATGTCTGACAATATGAAACCATGTTCACAGCAAAAGCAACTGTACTGCAGATTTTGTACAAATCTGGGGACTTTTACAGTCATGTTTGTGAATTGCATTTGACCAGTATTAGCTCATACATAAAGGTAATTGGCATGATTGGTCATCCTTTAATATTATGCACAGTCCTTGCTTAAGCTTTATTGTTTGTTTTTTCATGTACAACTTAAACATTCAGCCAAAAGGAGCGGATCGGAAACAGAAAACTGACCGAGAAAAGATGGAAAAAAGAACCCCACAAGAGAAAGAAAAATATCAACCATCTTATGAAACGACTATCCTCACAGAGGTAATGATAATCTTTGTCTAGAGTCATGAATTTTGTATGGAGAGACACACATTCTCATACTCATTCTTTCTCTATTCACATCTTTACATTGGCATTAAAACAAATGTTAAAACATAGCACAGGGATGTACTCTGATGCAAATTGTGATACTTGGACATCCATTTCCATGTTGTTGGGAACCATGGGGCCAGTTGCAAAACTTTGTGGTGATGGGCATTAAATCGTTGTATATCGCAAAGTATGAAATGCAGTGCACTGACTTGCCATCTTTTTGCAGCAATATTCTTCTAGAGCACATAAGCACTCTGCAAAGAGTGCATTTTTTAGCATGCCACAATAAGGTGAAACTGCAGGAGCATTATAACTTGCATTCCGGGTGTTGGCATTCCATTAATAAATGGGCTGCTTGTCACAATGTATGTTAACATGCAAAATACTGTGGGGTAATGCAGCAGGGATCTCTAAATTGACCCTACACTATGTATCCTTTCAAACTGCACCTTTAATTGTGTAGTCAGGAGCAAATGTGTTAATCACCTTACAAGTTTAGCTGGAAGTGAGAGTGCTGGGTAGAGAAATATTCTCTCTCTCTCTCCCTCTTCCTCTCCCTCTCCTAGGTATTGGAGGCATCTTTAAAGTAACTGTATAATGTTTTGTACATGATTTCTTTATCAAGGTCCAAACTAAACACATTTTTTCCACTAAATCTGCAATGCTGAAATTGAGTGTTTCATATGTAGCGCAAGTAACCTGCAGAGGGAGCACAAGTGTCTGCTGACAAAATGTTTGTTTTTTTTTTTTTTAAACTTATTCATTCGTTTTAGCATAAATCTTCCCATAGGTTTATATGTGCATTTAAAAGAGAAGAACGACCAAAGCTTGTTTGGCCATAGTTCTTATGTTAGTCACAAGAGTGCACTTGCATTTGCAAACCAGAATCGGCTGACAGTCGGCTAAAGTCTGCTCTAGGATGATGTCACAGAACCACTCCAGTCTCTGAACATAGGCTGACTGGCAGCTGGCTCAGCATCACATTGTACTGCTGAGAGCTTTAGCCAGCTGCTCCCGCCTCCACAGCCTGGCACTCCAATGAGCCCTGGAGGATCAGAGTAGAGAGACAGTGACTGACAGTCACTACTCTGTGCTCAGAGCAGATCTGCAGTCATGTGAATGTTCAGTTCTCAGGCTTAGAGCCAGCAGGGGACCGATGCTATAGCCATATAGGGGAGTATATATGTTTGCTTTTTTCACTTCACACACTTCTCCATTTAAGTCTGTAAGACTTCTTTTGGGTTCCCCCTATTTTGGATGTGACATTGGTGGTCCCAGCATGCTCACAGATGTCACCCAAGGATAGGGTTAAGTAACAAAAAATGGGTGGTTCCACAACTTTCACACCACCTGTTCCTGGACAATCAACACCTGTCTTGACACATTCTATGATATAATGAAGGTGTTTGTAATATCGCTGTGGCTGTAAAGGCTGGGCAATTTTGTTGCCACTTGGTACCAAAGTAATGGCTTGAATTGGCTACAAAACATCTTTAAGATTACAGTACAAATTCATTTGAATGTTGAACTACTACCAGCTTTAGCTTTCACTCACGTGCCACACTACTTTATTTCCCAGCACTCCCTTGATAGATACATAAAAGGTTATGTAGGAAAGTGGGCGGAAGGAACGAAGGGGTTGGTCAGCACAGAGAGTAATTAGCCACTTCCAGAAGAGGAGAGGGCTACAGGGAGGAGCTGGAAAATTTGACTAGTTCCCTAGCACAGTCAAAGGCACACTGCAAATGAATTACAAAAATAAAAAGGGAAAACATTGCTTGTAAGTTTGCAAAATACAAATCTGTGCTTTTACCTGCAATTTTTTGAGTTGGTGACTGGGTCTCTTCAATATGCTGTATTTGTGTTCCTGTGCTGTTCCACTCTATTCAGAACATAAACTGCTCTCAGAAGAGGTACACAGCCCTCTCTCTGTGCCTAGTATATGGCCTTGTTAGACTAAGACAAACCTACAGTTAGAGAAAGTTACACCTTACATTTTATGGGATTTTTAAGGCAATCTTGCAGTATATACAAAGAAACCAATTGTTAAAAGATCAACATTTTTCTTTGAACACATTTCTTTTATCTGACAAATTTAATACATATCGGGTAACCAATACATGTTAGCCAATATAAAATACAATAATTTTTGACAACTCATTCACTTCACAAAATTGTGGTTATTACAATATGTATCCAGTGGTATCCCCTAAAGCTGATTTCCACCTTTTTCAACCTCAAAGTTTGACTGCAGATATATTCAGCCTGGGATCCAAAGTGTTTTGAATACATTAATATATATTCTTCAGGGAAAGGATACCATTCTATAACAGTTATTGTCAACAGTCAATTATTAGTGTATATCTTTATTATTAAGTAATGGTAAACTAACCATATAGGATACATGACTTATATAGCCACCAAAAAAATTGTCAAACGTAGATGCTTCGCTGTGTTTAAAAGGCGAGTTTCCCCCATAAATGAGGCAATCATTTCACGTGCAAGGACCATGGGTGTCACATCACAAACACTGTCATAACAAAATATATATATATATATGTATGTGTATAATAATGTCTTAGAAATACAACAATGCATCGAGTGTAAGACTGAAAACTCTGTAGATTATGGTAATATGTATCCTTTTAATAGCCACATAAATTAAAGGGGATACCTATGTAAATTCCATGTTTCCCCATAATTATCAATGACCGCAATAAAGTGTGCTAAATATATGAGCTATATAATTTAAAAATTCTTTTTAAAATGAGTATCAAAAATAATTGCACATTTTTCATCACTCACCATGAACTGCATAGTAATGTAGTAGTGTTCAAGATGAATTAGGTACTTAAAGCTGTATTTGTTAAAGCCAATTGTGGCCTTTTATGGGTTTCAAAGTGGATGTGATGTGTTTATTTCCTCCCATATGCGGATCATGTCCGCTGGGGAGAAAAATGGCGCCCATCGTGTGGTCCCCGGTGTTCACCTTACTGTGTAAGCAAGAACACGCCATTCGCATTGACGTCATGTCTGGCCCCAGGATGATGTACTTCCGGATACCAGATGGGCGCCATGTTGCCGCACACTCCATCCGAAAAGACCACCCCATCAGGAAAACAGACACAAACCTACACACTGCAAACATAGTTACATAATTAGACTGGCTGAAACAAGACAAAAGTCCATCCAGTTCGAACATTTAAAAAAAAAAAAAAGTAACTTATAATCCTAAACCACAGTTGATCCAGAGGAAGGCAAAAAAAAAAACCAGCAAAGCATAATCCAATTTGCTCCTGCAGGGGAAAAAATTCCTTCCTGATCCCCCGAGAGGCAATTGGATATTCCCTGGATCAACTTTACCTATAAATGTTAGTATCCAGTTATATTTTGTGTATCCAAGAAAGAATCCAGGCCTTTTTTTAAAGCAATCCACTTAGCTGGCCAGAATTAACTCTTGAGGGAGTCTAGTCCACAGTTTCACAGCTCTTACTGTGAAGAACCCTTTCCGTATTTGGAGATTTAAATTTCTTTTAATCTAGACATAAAGAGTGCCCCCTTGTCCTCTGTGATAACCTCAGGGTGAATAACTCTACACCGAGTTCACTATATGTACCACTGATGTATTTTATACATGTTGATCATATCCCCCCTTAATCTCCTCTTCTCAAGAGAGAATAAATTCAGTTCCTCTAATCTTTCCTCATAGCTGATCTCCTCCATGCCTCATCAATTTGGGTGCCCTTCTCTGTACTTTCTCCAGTTCCCCAATGTTGTTTTGTGAATTGGTGCCCACAACTGAGCTGTATATTCCAGATGAGGTCTTACTAAAGATTTGTACAGGGGTAAAATTATATCTTTCTGGAGTCTATACCTCTTTTAATACAAGAGAGGCTATTGTTGCTCACTTTAGAACCTGCAGCTTGGCATTGCATGCCATTATTAAGCTTGTGATCTACCAGAACTCCCAGATCCTTCACCATTGATTCCCCCAGTTGTACTCCCCCTAGTATGTATGATGCATGCATATTCTTAGCCCCTAAGTGCATAACCTTACATTTATCAACAATAAACCTCATTTGCCACATAGTTGCCCAATTAAACCATGCATTGAGGTCGACTTGTAAGCTGGAGACATCCTGTAAGGACGTTATTCCACTGCACAGCTTGGTGTCATCTGCAAAGACTGAAATGGTATTTTTAATCCCAGACCCTATGTTTATAAATATATTAAAGCGTAAGGGTCCCAACACTGAACCTTGGGGTACACCACTGACAACCCTAGACCATTCATAGTATGAATCATTAACCACTACTCTCTGAATATCTGAATACGATCTTTTAGCCAGTTTTTCAATCCATTTACATGTGGATTTTTCCAAGCCCGTAGACTTTACCTTACACATTGTGGATCATCTGGAGAAGGTATTTAATAAATTTGCTTTCTCTTTGTCCCCAGTCACCCACTCTAGATTCTTTTGAGGGCCTACATGCACAGACCTGAGCTTTTTACTATTAATAGATTTCAAAACGAACGACAGATTTCAAAAGATAGCAGGACCAACCCCAAAAAATTCTTCAATTTTTGCGGCCTTCGTTTCCTTTTTGCATGTTCTGTTATATTCTTTGTAATGTTTAAACAATGATAGTGTTCCTTCATATTTATATTTAATAAAAGCTCTTTTCTTTTCTATAGCTTTTTTAACTTTAGCCCTAAGCCACATAGGTTTGATTTTTAGCCTTTTAAATGTGTTGCCCATGGGAATATATTTTGCAGTGTGTTCACATAGTCTTTTTGAAGAACTCCCATTTCTGTGTTGTGTTCATTGATGCCAGCATTCCCAGTCTAAGTCTTGGAGAGCAGCTCTCTGCCTTGGAAAATTAGCTCTTTTAAAATTGTGCTTTTTTATTCTCATATGTGCATGCTGTTTACAGCTAACAATAAATGAAATCATGTTATGGTCATTGCTACCCAGATGTTCTTTTTATATGTACATTAGTAATCTCTGCATGGTTTAAGATTACCAGGTCCAGCAGAGCATCATTCTTAGTTGGGGCCTCTATGAACTGTACCATAAAATTGTCCTGTAGTAGGTTTAAAAATGTTTGCCCTTTTAACTGTTCCTGCAGTACCATTACTCCAGTCAATTTCTGGGTAGTTAAAATCCCCCATTATTATCAATGTCCCAGCTCTTGCAGCCCTTTTGATCTGTGCAAGGAGCTGAGTCTCCACCTCCTCATTAACACTGGGAGGCCTATAACAAACTCCAATGATTACCTTTTGTAGTATGCACCCTCATGTGCAGTTCCACCCATAATACTTCAGCCTCATCACACTCTCCATCAACATGTGCAAACATACAAAAAGGTTATAGTAAAAACAAAAATTGCCATACAATCTGGACAGCATAACATAAACTTGTCAAAAGAAAAACTAAGAAACAAAACAAATGAATAACTTTGGCAGAGGAATCTCTGCATGTCAAATGATGGCCTCATTATGGGGAAACATGAAATTTACCTAGGTATCCCCTTAATGTGTTTATTTTCAGTCCTACAAACGGTGGCTACGTAAGTCATGTATCCTATATGGTTAGTTTACCGTTACTTAGTTATAAAAATATGCACTAATAATTGATGACAATAATTGTTAGAGTGGTATCCTTTCCCTGAGGAAGAATCTATAATGTATTCGAAATACGGATTCAAGGCTGAATATATTTGCAGTCAAACTTTGAGGTTGCAAGATGGAAATCCACTTTGGGGGATACCACTGGGTACATATTGTAATAACCACAATTTTGTGACTTGAATGAGTTGTCAATTGTATTTTATATTGGCTAACATGTATTGCTTACCCGATATGTATTTGTCAGATAAAAGATGTGTTCAAATAAAATGTTGATCTTTTAAGAATTGGTTTCTTTGTATATGCTCCAAGGTTGCCTTAAAAATCCCATAAAATGTAAGGTGTAACTTTCTCTATTATGGAAACGGGGATGATGGCAACCACACCCTGAGCTACACTGACTTTTTTTTTTTTTTTTTTTTTTTTTTTTTTAGACGACCTACAGGTGAGCAAGTAATCTAGGCAAGGTCTTATGCTTAGCAAACCATGTCATGGAAGAACCTTGTAAATAGCTTTGTACAAATACAAGAAACTTGTATAAAACCGTGTTTAATGGGTCTTACAACAATTTGTGAGTAAATGGACAGCCATTTGTTTACTTTTGTTTTGCTGTATTATGCTGAAGGTAGTAGACAGTGCTATACTGTTTTTTTTTTTTTTGGGGGGGGGGGGGGGCAGGGGGTTTCTTCTGATGTCAGATGGTTCTGGGCTATGCTTCTCCCACCATCATACAGAAGTAAATCAAGCCCAGCTGTGTGCAGCTAAGGTGAAATGTGCCTGTTCAGCTGATCATGGACTTTGTCTGTTACAGTGTTCTCCATGGCCAGAAATCTCATATGTGTCAAATGCTCCTTCTCCAGGATTTAACACTTCACATAACAGTTTTACCATTGGGGAAAGGTAAGTTGTTCTGTGTATGTGATTTATATTTAAAACTTTTTTCCGTAATAATCAGATCCCATGAAACCGGTTGCCACCGACTGTAGACATACATACGCAGCCACTGAGCTTGTAGGCTTTCATGCCAACTGTCCATTGGAAACAGCATTTTTGTGCTAAGAGCACCATCACAAGATCTGAAAGCGCTTCTTTGCTTCTTGACATTTAGATCCCCTTAAATGAATGGGGGGGCGGCAGTGGCAAGGAGCTAAAATGTAAGCATTGCGCTTTATTACAGAATGGTTCCCAGAGCCACATTATTACTGCCTTTCACGTATACACTGCCAAGACCCCCATATATGTTTATGCTTGAAGTGTTCGTAAAAAACAATACTTTGACACAAAATGCAGAAATATAATCTGGTGTTGTGTTCATAATGTTGGAGAAGGCCATTGAAACCTTTTGGGGTTTTTTTTTTTCCTTATAGGTGAAAGGGATACATAAAATATTGTGAATCTTGCTTTTAGTATTGCTCCAACTTGTTGCATCATAACTGTTGTGAACTTTAATAATGCAAATGTGACAAAACCATTATGGTTATGTAGGTAGGGTGGCTGGAAAATTATTTATTTGCCAGCTGGGTACAGAGGTTTACTGTAAGGCTGGATTCACACCTACATGTTTCCATTTAAATTGATAGAGATGCAGGCCAGCGCACATTGTAACACATGCAATAAATGCTTCATTTCGTATTTTCATACCTTTCTGTTTATTTCTATGGAACCTGCAGGTGCCGAAGTATGAAAAAATGTGAATCTTGCTTCCTATATATGCTGTAAAGAAGAAGTTAAATGGTCTTCCCTATTTCAGCCTGATATAGCGATTTGCATGTTCAGAATAATCTGGGAATTTCAAGAAGTTAGAAGGGTGATGAGATAAATAGTGATGCATTGCAAATGAAACTCTTACCTTAAAGGAAGTTCACTCAAAACCTAACTCTAACACACTCGAAGCCACATTCTAAAACTAATCTATTTAGCCCTGTAAAGAAAAAATCTCTATACATACCTTTTCTGAAGCCAATCTGGTACAGGCTGTAGCGGCAGATGCTGTGCAGGAGAGAACAGACAAAGGCTGTGAAATGCCTGGAAAGTGACATCACCATAGACTAACTATGGGGCTTCCGTTTTTGGCTGTCTCTCCTGCACACACCTACACCCTGAATCCACTGCTGCACAGCTCAACGTAGGACCAGAGTGGCTGCAGGACAGGTATGTATAGCGATTTCTTCTTTACAAGGATAGATTGGTTTTAGAATGTGGCTGAGAGTAGAATTCGTTTTTGGGTGAACTACTTTACCCTTTTTCTGCCACTGGTATACGACATATGTCATAAGCAGTGGCAGATTTTACCTTGTATACAGTGGGTATAAAAAAGAATCACATTTTGTTGCTCTGCAGCCTGAAATGAAGACAGTTTTTGTTTTATCCAGCTTTATTCCACTTTCAAGTGAAAGCTATAACACACAGGTCAAAAAATCAAAATCAAAAAGAGAATCGCTGAGTTGGGAAAAAGGATACCCCCCCCCCTCTAAAAATGACTTTTTTAAACTCAATCAGGTTTAACTAATCAACTTCTCAGTGGCACACTCAGTCATTTAACTTTCAACTCCGCTGTGGTCATTTTGATTGGCTCCCCATGAATAGCGCTTTCCTGGAGCATTTCAGTCCCTGGGTAGTGCAACTGAAGCAAACAACTATGGATGGCAAGGCACTGTCAATAGATCTGTGATTAAGTTGTAGTCAGGAGATGGATACAAAAAAATTCACGGGCTTTATCAATGCCTAGAAGCAGAGTGAAGTCTGTAGTGGAAGGTATTTGGTACAACACTGACCCTCCTTGGATCAGGATGTCGCTCCAAACTGGATGAAAGAGCCAGGAGGAAACTGGTTAGAGGGACTACCAAGAGGCCCACAGCAACTCTGAAACAGTTGCAGGAATTTATTACAAAGAGTGGTCATTGTGTGCATGTGACAACAATACCACAAATTCTCCACAAATGTGGCTTGTATGGGAGGGGTGCAAGAATAAACTGTCGACTCAAGAAAGGCCACATGTAGTCACAACTGAGCTCTGCCAAAATGCACCTTGAAGGATTCTAAAGGTCACATGGAAAACGGTGTTATGGTCAGATGAGACTAAAATGGAATAATTTAGCCTCAAACAAAACAAAAGGTTTGGTGGGAATCCAATACAGCTCACAATCCAAATAATGCAATTCCTACAGTATTATTATTATTATACAGGATTTATATAGCGCCAACAGTTTGCTCAGTGCTTTACAATATAACGGGAGACAATACAGCAACAATACAGTTCATAACAAAAGGGTTAGGAGGGCCCTGCTCCTTGGCACTTACAATCTAAGAGTAAAGCATGGATGTGGAAATATTCTGGTGTGGGGATGTTTCTCCACAACAGGGACTAGAGCACTTGTCAGGATAGAAGGAGAAATGGATGGAGCAAAATACCAGCAAATTCTTGAGGAAAATCCAGCTGTCCTCTGCCAGAAAGTTGCCAATGGGAAGAAGATTTACCTTCCAACACAATGACCCAAAGCATACAGCAAAAATTACTGCACCATGGCTGAAGGAGAAAAGGGGAATGTCCTTGCATGATAGACAAACCACTAGGTGCTAAATCCCACAACCAACATATGGTAAAATGAGGCTAGTCCCACAGCTGCTCCGATGACCATTAGTGTGATTTGATATTGCTAAAACCAAGAAAATCAGACCGCTTGTGGTGAAAGCCAGAATAATTATGCAGTGACGTACACAGCCAACAGTCAATATGTCTGATTCAAATGTTTAATAGACCGATAAAACCGTAATCACCAATTTCCAAAAAATCCATGTGATAGGGCTGGCACAAGTCACCTGCTAAAAGGAATGATGGGAGCGGCTTACATGAATGTAGATGTGGCTATGGGAAGCCTGGATGGTAAACTCCACGTATGGAAAAGTTGTAAAACAGCAGGAATTGGTAGGGAATTTGTCCACAAACCAATGGTCTAGTGAGATGCCACTTGAGAGATCAGAAGGCCTCCTCGGTGTCACCGAGGATCGCACACTGGAAGTGACCTCAGTCAAAATGGGGGGGAAATGACTGCCACTGACATCACCAGTGACTTTAATACAGTGATAATATAATAAATAAAACCTTGTCACTATACTAATGACACTGGCTGAGAGGTTAATATCTAGGGTGATCAAAGTGTTAAATGTGTGCTGCTTTTATTAATGGATTTCTAGGTTTCTCAAATGGAGATCATTCCCTCTCTACAGTGCTCTGGGCTGTGATTGTAAACAGCCAATCAGCAGGTCCCAGCTGTGAATCATTGGCCAGGACTTGCTGACATGCTCCCATTGTGTACAATCACAAAGGGTGCCGGCTAGGGGAGGCGTGTACTGAAGTAGGCAGCAATGTACAGTATGTGTATGTCTTTGCCTAGAGTGGCCGCCTGTCCACTGTACCTTGTGGGTGGTCTGTTAAGTGGTTAATTCTTGCTTTGTGTCTGCTTCACATACACATAACCTGTAATATAAAATTAGAAGTTAGTGGCTACATTTGAAATAACTTAAAATTTTTCCAGTAGCAACCTGACGATCCTGCTATTCATTTAGCTGATATATGCTTAAGTCTGTTTATTTGGGGATTTGCGGGCTTCACAGTCCCCTTTGTATTTACATCTCCTTTCCAAAACATTTTAACTGTTTATCTGTATAAAACTGGTTAGCACTGCCAGACCACTGTGGCACCTAACTCATTGCTTAATAGCTATTGTCACTTTTTTTTTTTTTTTTCTTTTGAAATAGTAATGGTTCTCCAAATCATCAGCCAGAGCCCCCAGCACCAATCGTTGATGTAAGTTCAGCAATGACACCCATACAGGTACTTAAATTCTATTCACCTAGCCTTCTATGTATAAACAGCTCTGTCTCTCTCATTTGCACATGGTGTGCAACATTTCCTTTATTTACTCGGCCACAATATACCATTTTTGAGCAGTGAGATTGAACATTTACATTATTTTAAAATCTTTTCACTGGTCAACGTTTGAGCTCAGGTTAAATTAGGATAAAGAAAACGTTTAAATGTTGCAATGTACATAAAATGTCCTCAAATGTTTAGCTATTATAAATATTGTGGTTCTGTGAGAGTTGTCCAGACATAAGTTGGCAAACTCTTAAAACAAGGTGACAAGTTTTTACACCATGCATTTCCCCCTTTTTTTGTAGTCCCTAAAGTGTACCTGTGCATAGATTATAGACTATAAATCACTTACATTTTAAAGTATTGTACAGGCAGAGTTTTTTTTTTTTCTTACTATCGAACATGCCATACTTACCTGCTGTGTTCAGTGGTTTTGCACACAGCATCCCCAGTCCTCTTATGTCCCCTGACGGCGCTTCTGACTTATCCTGGCTGCTTGTTCTGGTGGCACCCATGCATATGTCTATAAGACACACACCACACGCACACTCCCTCACTGGCTGAGATTGACCACCTGGCTCCCGCTGCGCAGCGCGAGCCAATGAAGATAGAGAGAGCCAAGAGAACCTCTGCTCTTGTGCACATCGCTAGATTGAGATCGGGCTAAGGAAAGTATAAGGGGTGGGCTGGGGGAAGGGCACTGAATGCATAAGGTTTTTTACTTTTATGCATAGAACGCATGAAGGTAAAAGATCTTCTGCCTTTACAACAACTTTACCAAGCAGTGTAAGAGCTTTAAAACAAACAGTCTCTGAGGATCTTTATGAATTAAAATCAGCTAGATAGATCAAAGTTCACATTGACTCTAAAGTCAGGTGTCAGTGGTTTCGAACAGCCTAGAAGGACCTGCTTTATGTTTACATTACAGGGCTGTTAGGCTGCCAAGATTCTATTGTAATAGAACGTAATAAGAAAATACTTAAGATTTCAGTGCTTTTGTTGTGAATTTTAAAGACCATTTTTAGTAACTAATGAGGTGAATTAGGGCTTTTTTTTTTTTTTTTTTTTTTTTAAACGCTAGATGCATTTGGGTGTGTTCTTAAACACATGCTGAACTCTTGTACAGTAAAATTGTTTTCTAATAACTGTGCCAGGTCAATGCTTAGGAAAATAAAAAATACAACAGCATGCATTTTTTCACACAAACACGTATAAACATGTCTAAACGCATTAGACCAATAATGCAAGAATAAAATGTTTGCATACTAATTATAGATTTTTGTAGGGAAGAGTAAAAAAAGTGCTAAATAAACACCGCGCACATGAGGAACTGAATACGGGGATTGCAGTGAGTCCTTACAGTGCTTTTTTTTTTTTGGCTTGTTCTGATTATGTAAATGGTTTACTGTGCATAGTCTGGGACCGGTTCACTTTAAATAGGACCATCTTGCACTAGTGCTTTTGTATGGAATTGCAATCAGAGGATCAGCCACATGTTACAGTTTTATTTATACCCATAGAGACATTTGCTGTAGCAGACTGTAAATCAACATAATATGAGAAAGTTGTAGCTGTGGCAAGCTTTTTTGTTTTGGGTGACATGACCCTTGTATTGCATATTTAGATTTCCCATACTTTTTTTTTTTTTTTCTCCTCATAGCAATATTGTTTTTACTTTCTTTTCATTTGTGAAGTTGTCCAAGTGATTACACATGTAAAGTTTAAGCGTTTTTGTGAGCATCAGGTTGCAGGATTACAGTCACAATCTATAAGGTGTGATGCAGTAGAAATTAAGCTGTTCAGTTCCATGGTGATCCAATCTTTCATCAAGTTGTCCTTATGACTAACAAAAATAAAACTAGTCGAAAGGTTGCAGTAAAATTGCAGTGTAGAGATAGGTTTGAGTACATGTCCATCCATTCAATAACCCCAGGTGGGTGGCAGATTTTCTCTGTGAGCAATATCATTTGTTGTGCCCCAGTACAGTGCATGTTTGAGATTTTTGTGCATTAAAGTTGAACTCTAGGAATTCAGCTCCTTTGTAAAAAGTGAAGGCATACTAATAAGTCCATTGAGAGGTGCATTACACCTCCTGGACTTATCTCTGTGTACAACTGACAGGTGTAAAGGAACTCCAGAAGACAGCTATTGTTGTAACAGTGGACCTTCTGGTCTCAGCATCTTCAACAGTAGAGTCGCAGCAGCTGCTATTCCCCCCCCTCAAATCTCAGAAACCTTTGCATTATGTAAACAGTCAAAAAAAGACAAAGGTTTCTGTGATTGGGCAGCAGAGGGCAGGGGTGAGCATAGCTTTGGTGTGCTTTTCTTTTCTCATAACACAAGTGTATTCTCAGCAGTGATAAAGTTGTGAGATGTAAATAGAGAAAAGTCCAGGAGGTGTCATGCACCTAGTTGGACTTAGGTCAGTGTGCCTGCACTTTTTAGAAAGTGGTTGAATTCCTGGAATTCAGCGTTCAAGCCTTAGACAATATATATTTAAATGATTGTATCATTTAAGTCTAGATTCAGCTTTAGAACAAACATAATTTTGTGGAAAAATACTCCGTATTTCAACTAAAATAAAAATCTTATGGTTGTTTTAAAAAGAATATTCCTTTTTTGTATTTGACAACTAATTCACTTTTGTTATTGGATTCCTTGTGAGTTGAGCATATGCTCATTAGGGCAACAGTCAATCTTTATCTTACAGTAGACTACCATACTACATTCCTTTTTACTGGTGATTTTGAATCAAAAATTGGCAGATACCTACTATATATCATGTGTTTTGAATTTTAAGGTAGAGGACCAATTTTACCAAAACAGTTTTTTTTTCCGTCACTGTTTTAATTTTTTGCATTCATCCCCAAATACCTGGGGTTAAATGACCTCTTCACCTTTGGTGAAATTGCCCTTTTAATTCCCCCCACCCCCTGACTGCAATCTACTTGGTAACAAACTCATTACCTTCAGCCCTGGTCCAGTGATGTTTGCTATGCACTCATTCCCAGCACCACACCAGGCATGCTCACGTGAGCCCCATTCATTCCATTAAGAAAGATGAACTCTGGAAGCTGTCATGTGGACAGCTGTCCCATGGGTAATTTTATAAGATGACAGCACACATGCGCAGTATAAAGAGGTGCTGGTGAAGGCTTTCTTTGTGAAGGCTCTGCAATCTGAGGCAGAAATCCCAAAGTGAATATTGGTGTATCTTCAAATCAAGTATACGGTGGGGGGGGGGGGGGGGGTGATGGAAATTTAAAAAATAAAAAAAATTACCTAAGTGCCCAAAGTAGTTGTGTTTTATCCATCATTGTTCCCACCTTTAATCTTTCCTGTGTTTCTTTTAACACATGGTACATGCATCTAGTGTTCAGTATGTTAAAAATAGCATTGTTCAGGTTACAGCTGCTATTGCACTTTAAAGTACAATCTTGCACTAAAAGCAGCAGGTACATTTGTTTTGACTGGGATCTGTTAAATAAGGTCATCTTATGCTTTTCTGGCAGCCCCTCCTTAATATTAATTGAGTTTAGCTCAAAAAGGAAAGCTTACTCACAAGTAAAAATAGGACATTAGTAGAGCCAACTAGTTGGAGGCCAACTGCACGCCAGTAGAGCTTGATGACTTTGTAGCGGTAATGAACTGGATATATATATATTTTTACCAAGTATGTTTTTGCTGCCTATTTTATTGAATTTTTTTTTAATATTACATATAGGTGCATTTTAATTGTATTTAAATAATGGAAGATGTGTCAATCATAATCCTATACCCCAGTAATAAAAACTAAATTGTATAACAATATGAATAGCACATTGTATGTCTACGCAATGTATCAGAAGCACATACTATTGTCTTATGTGGAGTTGACAGTTCCTTTAAAAAAAAAAAAAAAAAAAAAAAGAGAAAAAGAAAAAACAGTTAGAACTTGCACTGTGTTGGGACGTGGAAGATTGGTTTGCTTACCCTTGTTTAAGGAATCATGCCACACAGACTGTCTGTGACAGTACACACGCACTTACGTGGGTGCATACAGTCTTCTAGAAGAGGAAATGCCCTTCTCATGAGACACTGGTTTGTTACCTAATGTACAGAATGGAGTTTTGTGGAGCTCTCTTTATGCATTTCTCTTGTAGAACCTCTTGCCTACATCAACCCCTCAGGAGGCACAACAGTGGCTACATAGAAATAGATTTGCTGCATTCTCGCGGCTATTCTCAAATTTCTCAGGTAACTCCCTAGAAGGAAAAGTGTTAATACAATGCTATTTCACATTCCCTCAACCTGCAACCTACCTTCTCTCCCTCCTTAGTACCAAACACAATTGTATACTTCTCTCCCCACTTGAGTGAGATATGCTGAGCATAAAAGGAAGTGTTTAGTTATTTTGGGGGGGGGGGGGTTTCTTCTCCATATAGTTTGTGTTAACAAATTCGGTTACAGAGAGATTTCTTTTTTTTTTTTTTTTTTTTTTTTCTCTGCAGATTCCTTAGTCATTCCACAGTAAAGAGTATTTTAGATTTGATCGTGACTTAATTTCTACAGATGCTTTTATTCTTGTTTTTTAGTAAACCTTTGCCCAGATCTGTTTTTTGGAAAGTGCATTGTTTTGCGCACTCTAATAATCTCCTCCCCTTGCTGCTACTAGTGATATTTGAAGAATTCCCAAGCCAGTTATGATCATTTCTGAAAAGCAGCAGGTCAAACGGCAGGGAGAGATCACTGGAGGAGCTTTTAAAGGATGACAATTAGCAAAATAGAGAAAAGTGCATTACTTTTATATCTGCTTTCTGTTCTGCAGAATTGCAGCTGGAAAGGGGAAGAGTAGATAAGATAGTTTGAAGTTTCCATAGTTACACAGCTTAATTATGTTAAACAGGAATTCATATTTATTTAGCATTTGTATTTATAGGGTTTATTCTTACTACAGGCCTGTGCGGGTGCTTGGCAAGCAGTTTTGACTCAAAAAGCACCCGGAAATAGACAGGTTGAGGCAGGGTTACAGCTCAAGTAATCTGGCTAATTTACATTCTCTTGGGCATTAAATGCATTGTAATAGTGGTGTGTCATTAAATAGTTAATATTTAGCTTCCTGGCTGTTTGAAAAAAAAACTATTCGAGATTTGTCAAAATAGATGGACAATATTGCCTGTCTGTGGCCACTTTTATATCACCTCTTTATGGTTGTCCAACATGGTGTATAGAGCAAAATACAGACCTCCTGTAGTATGGTACACAGGAAAATTTTTACTCTTCTCTCCTGTACTGCGGGGATGGAAATTGGGTACAGTCCAATCAGGGCAATCTCCATAGTAACAAAATTTAATGGCTAATACAGAGTGCTATATAAATAATGATATGAGAGAGCACCAGAGAAAAGCTTTTTTGCTGTGCAGGTTAAGGAGAAGAGGCAGAAATTATGAGATTGACCCCAGGAAGCACAGAGAACAAAACATTTAAGTATTGGGGTAATCGAATTCTATACATGCATCTGTAAGACAGCAAATAACAGCATCTCTTTAATAATGCTGAATCATCCTATATGAACTGCAAAACCTAGTAAATATTCATACTGTCCTATTGTACATGATGAATAATGATGAGTGGAATATCTTATATGGCCTAAAGTAGAAGTCAGGGCTAGAACCAACTATGCTTAAAATAGCTCACACCCACCTTCTAACACCTATAATTACCCGGTAGAAAGAAGATGCCTATGCTTACCTGTTCTCAGAGCACTCCTGTCTGGTCATGTGATCTTCCCAGTGGCCGACTTCAGGGGGAGAGGGAAAGTGTGCCGAAAACAGATGGATTGCCTTGGTGGTGACGTCAACTTTTGGCTTACTATGGGATATTTTTATTATTATTATCCGTTGTTAGCTGTCCCTCCTGTCCCCTAAAGCTAGCCACTGGGAGCCAATAACGTGACCGGAGCATCCAGAGAATTGGAACTTATAAGCATCTTTCTTCTACAGGGTAGTTAGTATAGGAGTTAGATGGGTGGTGGCAGTTTTAAGCTTCGTTCTAGTCCAGACTTCTACTTTAAGCTGCAAGCAGCCATGCATGTATAGTTCTGCAAGTCTTGCTAGTTTTTTCACCATAGGAAATGAGACACATAAATAGAGAAGAGATGCTGGAAGCTGTATTTCTTAAATAGACCTGTATGAAATGAAATTCTAACCTGTCTTGGTAGTAGTTCTTTCTTATTGATAGACAATATAGCAATGATTAGAGGAATCAGAACCAAATCTTGATCTGGTAAAATACTATGAAAAGTACAAAATCTAGCCCGTGATAGCTAAGAAATATTGGGAACTTTGTTGCTGTGTCTAGATCAAGTGGCAATACTTGCATTATGTTTCAGAAATATAGGCCCAGTACCAAGTATACCTCACATGGTAGCATTTCTTTGGTAGAAATCTAGCTGTAAACTTAAAAAAAAAAAAAAAAACCAAACACCATTTAAGTAGTGTTCACTCCTCATCTCTTTTCTTGATGAGACTAGTGGACTGTCAACTCCCAGTATGCCCAGCATTTTCACTCAGAAGTATACATAATTCAGTATTTGCCCTATTTGTTCAACCTATGGCTTAAGTTTTCTTAAATTATGAAATGCTCTCTCCTATTAGATATATATGTTATTTCTGTGTGCAACCTCACAAATCACAATTTTCATGTTTAACTCCCCTGGCAATGTTTAGATTGAATTGCAAAAAGCTCTAAACAGGAACAGTGTTAGAACTGTGGAAACCTAGTCTATAGTTAATCATGTCCCTTTTTAACAATTTTTTTTTATGAAGCCTTTACAGTCAGTTAGCTTATCTATGTGATAAAATTTGTTTTTGTTTTTTTTATATTTTTTTAAATTTTTAAAGAAAAATTTTTTTTTTGTTTAGAATACTTTTCATTTTGTAGGTTAAATCTGTGTAGGGGTCTTGCTTTAGTTTTTTTCCACATCCCATTTTTGAGATTTATTGTAATTTTTATGGCAGTGTCAGGTGCAGAGATTGTTTTAGAAAATTGTATAGGGTTACATAAAATATATTTCATAGCAAACTGAAACAATTGTTTGGGCTGGTATTGTTGACCTGCTGAAAATGCTAACGGCCTGGCTATCTGTCTTCAGTATGTTGAGTCACCTTGGTCATAATGAAATTGACTATCACTTATACCTTGGTCAGAATGCAGCAAATGATTTCATAGATCTAGATTTGCACTTGTTTCTGGATGGACAACTTCTGGATAGAAGCCATTGGACGAGCATGAATGCCAGGTAGTTAACACTTTGGGTGGTCAGCAATTGCAGCCAACGTAATTTGTCAACCAGTAGATACACCAGTCATGAAGCTAAAGCAACTGGAGCATGTGCATTTATTTCAGGTGCAGATTTATTAAAACTAACTAGAGATGATGTTATCCAGATCTGTGGGCCTGCTGATGGCATACGGCTCTTCAATGCGCTGAAAGGGAGGTGAGTAAATTTAACTTAAATTGGGTGTTGTGTTTTGGATAGAGCTGCTATAGCCTTAAAGTGCATCCTAAGCACTTAGCACTTGAGGTGTCTTATTGATATATGTATTTATTTTTTTTTTTTCCCCCAAAACATCTAGGGTGGTACGGCCGAGGCTTACGATTTATGTTTGTCAGGAGTCTCAACAACTGCGTGAACATCAGCAGCAAAAACATGAAAACGGAGAGCAAGGAAATGGTGCTTTCTATGGTATGTTTGTAAGGGTACTTATTTCTGTAGTTCACAGGTTCAGTTCCAAAAGCTTCAACACACATAGAGATCTTTTTTTTAGCCAAGTGAATAATTTTCACTTTTCCATAGGGTTTAGCTAAAAATGTTCGTGGTTTTTTTTTTTTTTTTTTTAAATACTGATCCTTTTCCTGTTTTAGCTTTGTGAATTGAGCCATATGTCTAAATGCCCAAAAGTTACCATGTTATAGTATATTTACTGTGCATGTGGGATTCAAGGACCAGTATCAAAAATACAGCGTAAAAGGCTTTAATACAATTCAGAAATCTGAAACTTTTCAGGATTTTGCTTGAACTGAAGATGAGTGTTAGTGTAAGTGCATCTGCATCCTTCACACAACTGACGTTATACACAGTATAGTAATACCTCAGTTTACAAATGCCTCGGTTAACGTAATTTTCAGGTTTACGAATGAAAATCCATTGAAAATAATGCCTCAGTTTACAAAATTTTTTTGCAATATGAAGTGTATGCCGGTGCCAATTTTTTTTTTTTTTTTATGCAATTGCTGGCTTTTTTTTTTTCTTCTTCATTCTAGCACACAGGATTAGCTATCACTTTACCCAGAGTTAACGGAAGCTTTGTTTCTTTTAAGAAACTAAAAGGAAACATTGTTTCTCAACTCCTGGAAGTAAACTAAAAAAACTTTCTTTTAGCTGGGGGGAAAGTGACAGCTGAATTTTTTTTTTTTTTTTAATTTATTTTGGCGTGAGTTTCCCTCAAAATCCGTACGAGACCCAAAGGGCTTGGTATGGATGGGAGGGGTGACCTCACACAGTTTAAGTTATTTTTTTAATTGCCGGTAATTCTTTTACATTCAGCTGTCAGTGGGGAACCCCACTGACAGCTGAAACATTAACACATGGTTGTCTCTACTAAAATACCGCATGACTTTAGTAGCGCTTTTTTCTGATCTTCGGATTAATTGGTTTTCAATGCATTCCTATGGGAAACAGCGTTTTGGTTTACGAATTTTGCGCTATACGAAAAGTCCTGCAGAACGAATTAGATTCGTAAACCGAGGTATTACTGTATTGTAAAATATTTTAAAACTTATTTTTTTTTTTTTTTATTATTAATAAAACTTCAAGGAATCTGGGCATTTTCTTGCCACTTCTCTTGCATATTTTAAGGAGGCATGGCATAGCAGGGAATAGACCAGAGGGTAGACTTTTCTAGTGGAAATCACTATAATGTGGTCAACTAAAGATTTGAGACAGCCAAGGAGCTTTGCAGATGAAAACTGCATGCATGTAGAGGTGAGTGCTATAAAGTTAAGCTGGTCCTTTTTAAAGCGAGTGGCTCTTTAGGTACTCTTAGAGGTTCAAACCCAAAGTCACAAAAATAGACATGCAGGAAGATAGACTTCGTACTAACAAGCTCTGTTTTCACAGCCGCTCATCCACTTTTCTGTTAAATCAGGATGGCTAAATTGGATTTCTTTATTGTACACCGCAGGACACAGGATTGGCTATGTCTTAGACTAATGGATTATGCTTCACCTCCAAGTTATTGGACACTGGCAAAAAGCAAAGCCCGGCTTAACCCCTCCCAATCCCAACATTCTTTCAGGATTTTGATGACAGTCTGTAAGTTTGCACACATAGGCAAACATTAGGGAGAGTTCAGGGGCTGCTGAAAAAAAAACGCAGAAAAGCTTCTAAATGTGAATTATCAGTTGCAGTATACATGGAGCCTAACTCTTCTGATTGTTATTTGGATCTTGAACCTCCAAAAGTGTGTGTTGGATCCCTCCTACTGCTTAGGTCACCTGGTCCTGGACACAGACCTATCTTACAGTTATCTTTCCTAATAAAAGCACCTGCTCTTCCAGTTCAGGATGAGGTATCTGGCGTCTTTGGTTCATCGCTCAATTTTGTTTCTGTAAAAGGGTACTGGGCTTTATGGCAGTCCGGATGCCCAGTTCCACTTCAGACCTCTACTACTTAACATTCTGGCAGTGTGGGAAAAACAGACTCCAATAGATATATCCAAATGTGTGAACAACCAGACCCGTATAGTCCCAGAGTGGTGGATATTAGTCTGGAAAATATTGGATGGATTCCTAATGTCTGTTCAGGTGCTGTGGTCTTTGGTGGAAGCTTGCCTGCCAATTCTTGTTCTGAAATGAAGGACTCTTCATTTGTCCCTTCCATCTTCAGGATCTCCCAGTAGGGGTACAGTTTTACAGTGCCATGACAGTGGTATACATAAAAAATGGGGGAGGTTGCACCAGAAATTGGGCTGTTTAAAGAAGCGGCTCTAATTCTGTCCTGGGTAGAACTTTGTTCTGGCTGTGTCAACAGTGTACATTCCAAATATTTTGAGATCCAGTTATCTGCATCTGCACCATGAGAATGGTTTCTCCATCCACAGGTGTTTCAAGCTCTGTTGCAAGTGGGGGACAGTGAACTCCTGGCCTCGAGGTTCAACAATAAATTGAACATTCGTTGCCTGGACCAGGGATCCTCCATCTTTCACAGTGGATGCCCTGTTGTGACTCTGTGGTATCCTTTGCACCTTGTTTAAAACGTTTCTCTCTGACTCCTCCATAAGCTGGAGATGGAGGGCATTCTGGTTATCGTTCACTGAATTGGCCCCTTGACACTCAGGCATAGTCCAGCTCCTGGCAGACTCTGTAATCCAAAGTGAAACAAAACAAAGTGCACCAACCTTGCGCATTACCTCAGTAAAACAAATTTTATTGAAATACAGAATGATACTCACAAACCGCGAAGTAAAGCAAGCATGTAAGTTCTCAATGGAACTTAAGAATTAGGTAGCCTGGGCGAGTCCCATCCAAAACCCTATGACTAAGAGCATTCGCTCGAAATGCGTCAGGGTCAGGCTGCAGCTGTTTGACGCTAATACCGCCGGCACCACGAGGGGTCCCGGCGGCAACTTTATATCGGGTCAGTACTTCATTTTATTCCTTGCATTGTACCTAATGAGTATCTGTTTGTGAGTGGGAATAAAACATCCTAAGACATATTGCACTACTGGCCTCCTCTGTTTCTTCTGAGCTCCTGTGGGAGCCAGGTACATTTACAGAGTGGTCATCACCTAATGAGAAGGCTGAGTGCAAGGCGTGGGATAATGAAGGGGACCTGACCAGATCTGACCAGACCTCTGATGAGATATTGGAAGTCTCTATATATTATATATAAAAGCGCATAAAGGTTGCGCATCTGGTTAGTGCGTAATCTGTATCCTCATTGTTTCACCGTGTGCACAGTCTGTGTCGTTTGGAAATCCACAGATCGGTTGAGATCTTGCTCACATCTTCACGTTGGACTTATCCTTGGAGATAGCAATTTTCCTCACGTTATATTAGCCACAATATAGTGGCATATATATGAATGCACAGTGTCACTTTATATCTTTGCATGATTTTGTGCATGTGTATACACGTTCATTTATTTGTGTTTTAGCGCTGCACCTTTTTGTATATTATTGTGTATTGGAAGGTTTTATATGGTGCCTTTGGTGTACAGCTGTTGCTATCTAGAAGGCGCTCACTTATATACACGTTTTTAGGATTTTTTTCTTACCTGGAAAATGTTTCCTGGAATTCTGATACTGGACACATGCACGGCTCCCCTGTCTGATCACTGCTGGGTTAGTTTCATGTTAGGGGTGGGGTGGGGGAGGGGAGGGTATGCAGGGCTGGGTTTCAGCTTTGTTTGCCAGTGTTCAATCAAATCAAAAGGAACTTTAGCATAACACATTGGTATAAGAATTAGCCAATCCATTGTGCTGTAGTGCACCTCCAGAAAATGTTTTTTTTTTTTTTTTTTACAGGAACTTCAAAAATTCTGTTTTACAGTTAGACAACCGTTAGATCTAGTGCATTCTATAATACAAATGACATGGTCAGGCATGCCCCTTTCCTCTTTATGAAGTCTATGCAAGGGGTATGGCTGTTACTGAGCTCTGCCTGTGTGAGCACAGGAAATTGTGATGTCACTGAAAAAGCTATTCGAATTCATTTCCTAGCAAAAACCTGTCACAAATCATAACACGCCGGGTTGCAAACTCCAGAAAAATTAAATATTTTGAGACTTCAATGGGGCTTTAAGACAAAATAGTTTTTGTATTCTGTGCACATTTTTTTCTCATTTTGAGGTGACTTATTTACTTTGCTCATTTGTATCAGTAGTAAGGTCCCTTCTTTCCCTACAGTGTATCATGCCATTTACCTGGAGGAGCTCACATCTCTGGAATTAACGGAGAAGATAGCCCAGCTGTTTAACATTTCTCCTCATCAGATTAACCAGGTTTACAAACAGGGCCCCACAGGCATTCATGTTCTGATAAGTGATGAGGTAATATGATTTACAGTTTTGCATTTTAAGATTGTTTATTGATACTTTATTTTGAGAAACATACTTGCAGTCTGAAAATGGATCACTGATTGTGCTACAAATAACACAACCGAATTTCTGGAAACTGTAGGGTCAGTTTCATGCTTTCAGCCATCCATGCATGACCTCCGTGTACGCTTAACCTACGATGCTTCCTGTCTTTACACACTGCAACCCTTTACTGCATATAAAGCACTCAGGAGAGCTGGTTTATTAACCACTTGCCTACCGGGCACTTATACCCCCTTATGTACCAGGCCAATTTTCAGCTTTCAGCGCTGTCGCACTTTGAATGACAATTGCGCGGTCATTTTTTTCTCACAAATAGAGCTTTCTTTTGGTGGTATTTAATCGCTGCTGGGCACTTTACTTTTTGTGCTATAAGCAAAAAAAAGTGCAAAAAAAGTTTTGAAAAAAAAAAAAAAAGTTTCTTTGTTTCTATTATAAAATTTTTCAAACAGGTAATTTTTCTCCTTCACTGATGTGCGTTGATGAGGCAGCACTGATGGGCACTGATAGGCGGCACTGAAGGGCACTGATAGGCGGCACTGATAGGCAGAACTAATGAGGTGGCACGGATAGGCTGCACTGATAGGCAGCACTAATGAGGTGTCACGGATAGGCGGCACTGGCGGCACTGATATGCGGCACTGATTGGTGGCACTGATAGGTGACACTGATAATGGGTACTGATAGACATCACTGATAGGTGGCACTGACATCACTGCTGGGCACTGACTGGCGGCACTGACTGGCACAACCGCTGGGCACTGACTGGTGGCACTGACTAGCAGCACTGCTGGGCTGCACTGGTGGGTGGCACTGGTGGGTGGGCACTGGTGGGCACTGGTGGGTGGGCACTGGTGGGTGGCACTGCTGGGCACAGGTGGGTGGGCACAGGTGGGCGGCATTGCTGGGCACAGGTGGGCGGAACTTGTGTGTGGCACTGCTGGGCACCGATCATCAGGGCACTGATGATCAGTGATCCTGATGATCGGTGCCGATCCCCGCTCTGACAACTGCCGGTTTTCGGCAGCACTTTCCTCACGCTCTGACAGCGTGAGGAAAGTGCAGCCAAGAACCGGCATTTGCATTTCCCGGTGATCAGCGTGTCATTGGACACGGCTGATCACGTGGTAAAAGGCCGCTGTGATTGGCCTTTTACCACGTCACGTGATCAGCTGTGTCCGTAGGACACAGCGATCACAGAGATCGCCGGGTGCGCTCCCCCGGGGGCGCTCCCCCGGGGGGGCGCGCAGGAGAGCGCGTTCTGGGAGGACGTCATATGACGTCCACCCAGAACTGGCCGGCCGCAGTGCAACCGTCATTCGGCTATCTGCGGTCGGCAGGTAGTTAAGGGCTCATTTACACGCACTTTGGCTTGCATTAAAGCACCTACCACTTCAACATGTTTTGTGGTGTGATTTTGATACTTTTTTTGAAGATTGAAAGAAACTTGGCAAATGCGCCGTGTATTTATTTTCTATTTGTTTAAAGGGGCCCAGTAATACCCTGACCCCCACTCAGCAGATCTTCAGCTCATAAGTACCCTCATTCAGCAGATTCCCAGCTCATTAGTACTTTCCTTTCAGCGGATCCTCCAGCTTATTAATACCTTCTTTCAGCAGATCCCCTGCTCAGTAGACCCCCAGCTCTGCTGACCCCCCACTCAGTAGTAACCCCAACTCTGCCGATTCGCTCAGTCAATAGTGTCCCCCAGCTCTGCTGATTTTCTGGTCTGCTGATCCCTCCTTTCTCTGGTCCCTGCTCACCTCCCACTGTATTACGCCTACACTGCTCACCATGTGACATTTGCTAGTTTCTCCTGAACTGGTCCGGTAGCTCTGCTGATCTTCTGCTTCTCAGTTCCCTCTCTGGTCACTTCTCACCTTCGGCTATATCATTCCCATGTTGCACACCACATGTGCCATCTGCTAGTTGTTCCGCCACCCCCCCCCCCCACCCCCAACCCCCCCCCCACCACCCACCCCCCCCACTCCAGACTCCGCTCACCTTTTTTAGCTGGTCCACACTGCACACCAGATGTGATGTCTGCACCCGACTTTTCCGGAATATATGTACATGACCTGGAAGTGACTGCTGATGACGTCTTTCCTGTTCACTTGTTGGTTTCATGAGAACTCATACCTGTAATACCTCCAAAACAAAGCGAAGTTAACTTCGAATAAAAGCCCCTCAAAAGCTGCAGGTGCTTTTAGCGAGAGTTGTCAGACGTCTATGGAGGCTTTGGAGATGATTTGAAGCACCAAGAAAATACCATGGGGTATAATTTTTGAAGCAAAGAAAACGCAGTGTTTGAACAGGACTGTAAGCTTACCATTTTATTTAGTGATGTGCTTTGATTGACTTTTAGAATACTTTAAAAAAAAGGGTGTCCAATGACACATTTTGAAGTGTAAACGAGATCTAACATTTACATTTCTCTAACTGAGGTGTGAATGAAGTATGTGGTGAATCTTGCAAGATCAGGAGCGTAGATACTCCTGAATGAAAAATATAAAGGATGACAAAATTAAATTAAGGTTAATAAAAGACCTGTGTGAGAGGGGCCATTCATAAATAAGTGTTTATTTGCATTTGGATATTCCTCTGACTAATGGTCATTATATATTTTGTGTATGTATGCCTGTTCTTACTTTTACAGGGGCTGCCAAGCAGTGGCAGGGGACATAATCCATCCCCTCCCCTGGTTCCTCTTCACATCAAGTCCATTTCTTTCTTCTCTTAAAGTGGTTGTAAAAGCAGAAGGTTTTTTTTTTTTTTTTTTTTGTTCATTTTATGCAGTTAGATTGAAAGAAAAAAAACTTTCTACATGCAGCTCCTCCCACAGCCCCCCTAAATATGTGCCTGAGCCCGATGTCGATCCAGCGATGTGCAGGAGAGCTGAGGCTCTCTTGCTCATCATTGGCTCAGATATTCAGTCAATCAGAACCATTTACAAGGGGATGGGGCAGGGCAAAGAGCATTAGTGGAGTTAGGCTGCTGTATGAGGACTCTCCAGCCAAGCCGACCAAACTTTAACACTTGATGCCGACGTCACACAAATATGAGGCCTCACGGAACTGGGCTTTTTTCCGTGGGGCTGCATATTTGCATACCTGTCTTTGTGCTGGGAGCGCGCCGCACTGCGCGCTCCCAGCACAAAGACTGCTGTGTCACTGAGAGCCCTGGGTCGCATTCTAACGATCGGGACCCGGGACTCCCGATTCCGGATCGTATAATCGCTGTGATAGCCAGTGATTGGCTATCACAGTGATCAGTCACTGTGCAGCCCGGACACTTTTTTTTTTTCTCTCTCTCTTTATGAATGGAGGAGAGAGATACATTGTATCTCTCTAACTCCTGGCATTGAGAGAAAAAAAGCTTGTAAAAAAATAAATATTAAAAAATAAAGAAAAAATACCTAGATCAAGGTTTGATCTAGTTCAGTGCTAGGGTTTGGTTCAAGGTCAGGGTTAAAGGTCAGGATTTAAAAAAAAAAAAAAAAAATTGGTGTCATCAGTGTCAATGTCAGTGTGTTTTTAGGTAAAAAGACAAACAAAATGTGCAATATTTGTTTCATGGCTGTACTACGGGTACAAATAACACACACATATATGGTATCGTAATCGTCAAGAGATGGAAAATTTATTTTGGTGGTTCTTTGGTAGGTTATGGTAGTAACAAGAAACACACAGCTAAATAAAAGATTTTTTTTTTTTTTTTTACTATGTTGGGCCAGTTTGATAATAAAAAAAAAAAAAATCAGGAGGTGGCCGTTACCATTTACCACCAAATGAAAGCCCAATTTGTCCTGAAAAAAACGTGGTATAATTCACCTGGATGTACAAAGTATTTGTGATGATATGTACGGTTTTACTAAATCATGTCAACGTTGCAAAATTGTGCTTAGGCATTTAGATTTGTTTTACCCTTAGGTGTAAAGGGGTTAATAACTTTGGTTGGGCATCCTCTGCTGTTTTAGAAGTTAGCTTTTTATAAGGAAAGAACAGAGTACACCAAAGATTTCTATATAGCCATCGTGAGTGATGCAGGAAATTTCCAGTGCAAAACAATCAATTTCCTTGTTTAAAAAAGTAAAATACCAAGTAATAGCCTAGTTGCTCTCTTTTGAAGCTAAAGGTTCCACAAGAACGAACAGGCAAAATGATGCACCCTGTGGAACTTAGATAGCAATCACCTGAAACACACACTGGAGAATGTCGGACCAGTAATGGGGCACTTGGTTCTACTCATTTTTTAAATAATTTACAGTTTTTGTGTATATTTTCCCTATGTTCACGATTAATACTCTTGAGGACTATTGTAAAATAAAAATATATTGTATGTTTATTATATATTTAAAGTGGTTCTGTGCATTAAGGAGAAAAAAACACCTCTGCTGCAGGATCCCCCCAGCCCCCTCCTTATTCTTAGCTGAGCCTGATCCGATCCAGCGACTTACATGATAGCAGCAGCTCTCACCACCATCTCCCTCCTTATCAGGCAAATTGATAGCAGCGGGGGAGCCATTGACTTCCACTCCTGTCAATCATCTCCAGTAATGGGGGGGGGTTCGGGGGCCGAGTCCCGCTCTGTGTCAATGGACGAAGCAGCAGGGCTCGGGAAAGAGCACACACGAGTGCCACCATGGGAAGCGGCTTTCTGTGGGGGCACTGGACAAGGAGGAGGAGCCTGGAGAGCACAGAGCAGGTAAGTAAAGAGATTTTTTTTTTTTTTTTTTTTTTTTCCTTTTTTAATATCCTTTACAATCACTTTAACCTTTGCAACCTTCAGAACCACAGGCCAGTGCCCTATTTTTTATTTCTGACAGCTTAAATAATTGTTGGTGTGAAATAGACCTAAATGGTAAAAAGATCAGAGTATACCCATTGTAAATGGCCATTTGTGACTTCTTGGCTATGTCTTGAGGCCCCCTAATATTGCATATTCTCCATACACTGTATGCACTGTGCACTGAACTTTGCTTTTTTAGTTCTATATTTTTATTGGATCAACCATGAATTGCAAATCGTTTTTTTTAACTTGATTGAATGGTGCAGAT